CCACAAGAGTGTCCTATAAGAGTGTCCCATGTCCTACAAGAGTGTCCCACAAGAGTTTCCTACAAGAGTGACCCACAAGAGTGTCCTACAAGAGTGTCCTACAAGAGTGTGACGGCTTTTCGCCTTGTGCCATCTGCATCTGGGTTTTTCCGTTCCAGAGGCGTTTTTCCCTACACAATAAATGGCTCATTACAAAAACCTGAGCCAAGTTATCTGACTATAGAGTATGTAGTTGTTCGAACGTGTTTGCATTCGGGTTCGTGGGTTCCATCTTATTTATTGTCTGAATACCATCTCAAATGCCAAGAGGTGCAGTGGCCTGCAAAAGCTCCAGCTCTGGCCATGGGAACGGCCGCTGCTGTGAGACCCTAAGTGATTCAGCTGTGATGGCACTGTCTTATCTATATCTATACCTCTTTATCTATTTACATATATACAGTAAGTGTTGAGGATGGTGAAAGGATCAAGCAGGCAGAATTGCTCCAAAAAGCACCCCGGTTCAGATGTTATTTGGCTGCGTTGCTGAGCGTCTGTTTCATTTTCATGCCAAACAAGTCTGCATGGAATCACGCGTGGCTCGCCATGACGAATCTCCAGACTCCGGCAGCTACCCCACCTGATGTTCAGCTGCAGTTGGTCCTCCTCCAACTGTGCAGGCTCCCAGCCTTCAAGCAGCTCAGGCGCCAGGAACTCCCCAGCTTTGGGCGCTGGAAGTGCCAAAGCGGCCACCTGTTGGGCTGGACCGGAGAAATGACAAATGCAAATTGAACCTAAATATATTACTGTAATGTTTTGTAATTGTTCATGAGCAATTCGAGGGAGGAACCTGTTATTCGTTCGCTTCTGTGGCTTTCTCAAGTCTCGTCCCTTAGACCCATGACTTCAGCGCCTTTTGAGATGCCTCTGCGATCTTCTCAGCCGAGACTGGCAGCGTCAGGGCCTCGGCCGGTGACCCCTGATCCTTTCATGTGCCCACTGTGCAAGCGACAAAAGACAGGAGACGAAAACAATTTGCCCATGTTTCTCTGCTAAGTCCTTGAGTGTGTGCATGTTTTTCCCTGGGTGCCAAACAAATTCCACATACTCCCACGGATTGCCCACCCAAACGCGACCGCGCTCCATCAACAGGCGGCCACTACCGCCAGCGAGACCTGCGTCGCCACAACAGGCGCCGGTCCGTCCGAGCATCTTCTGCACTAATGCCACTAATGGTCAAGTACACCGCGTGACTCCTGCTCCGTCGCGTTCCCTCAAACAAAATTCAATTTTCGACCTAGTGACGTGGTGAGCAACAGCGCGTTAAGTCCAAGCAGCCACCATGGCACACGCACACTTGTGCCCCAGCATCAAACCCGATTGGGGCGTAGAATACCAGCAATGGCTCCTTCAACCGGGTGGCTTCACAGACACCACCTCAAATCCCAAAAGCAGGCTCAGTCAACACCGACACTGAAACTGTGTACAGTAACCAAAAACAACACCCAATAAATACGTACGCTTCAAGTCCTGCCCATCCAGAAACTCCAGCCGAGCACAGTCTGCTGCTGTTTGAGGCAATTCATAGCTGGCATCTGGCTCCTAAGTGGACTGGAGCTCTTTCAGCATCACCACACGAATCCAAGCAACTTTCATTTTCAAGACAGGACACGAGCAGCGTTAGAAACGGCATGAAGATCTCAACACAATTGCCGTCGTCACCAAGGAATCGGAGCAAGCATTGCTGCAAAGCAGCCTATCCAGGATTCAGCGAGGCAGGACATGCTGAGTGCCACTGCGAACGCAAAATACTCCACATACAGTCCACTGGACCTGTGCCCAAAGGTATCCCTGCGGTGTAACGCCCAGCTCTCGAAGTTTCTCTTCACCAACAACTTAGCCAAGCAGAGTCAAACTGTCACCAGCACAGGCAGCGGAGAGCTATATGACCAATATACACATGCAAAGATGTAGTAGTGCACAGGTCTGATGTGCGAACAAATCAAACGTCGGAAAAGTGCGGCCGGGCCGCCACCGCAGAGTTCTCCAAGCTCTGAATGAATCTCCTCGCGGCCTCGCCGCACAGCCCTCCAGCTACCCACCCCAAAGGACAATGACTAACTGACTATCTGACCATCCTCTTGGTCACATTTGTCACCGCGCATCACTTGCTTGAGGGGGAATTTGAAAACAAGGGTGGGTCTATGGCAATTCAATAGATCACAAGCTTTGACCACCATGCATCAGGCGCTGTATGGTCAATGCACCTTGCTGCGCAACGTGCGACCAGCGGCTGCCATGTAATAAGGAAAGCTCAGTCTCTTCCCACTGAAGCAAACCTGACATGCTGCGTCGCTGTAACCCCTTCAATTGTTTCAAACTGCCCATGAGCCGCCTGTGACCGTGCTGTTCAGCAGCTGCAGCTGCTCCTGCAGCTTTGGATCGGCCTGGTTTTGTGCAACCAGCAATACATGGAGAGCCAACCACGTAGAGTCCGGTGAGTCAGCATCCTGGCTCGCTGCGCGTTGAATTGGCCAACACCATACGAGAAACATCTCGTATGAACATCTGTTGCATTCTGTGAGCATATGGGTCCATATGGGAAGAAGAAATCGTGCACATCTCAATTGCAAGCGGTTGGCAGGCCAATTCCTCCCGGTTCCTTTTGGGGTAGAAGTCTGGCAAAGGCACCACTTGTAGGTGCTATAAACATCCCACACACAACTTGGTGCAGCCAAATCACCAGCAACTCCGACAGTTTGGCGCAGGACCGGGCAGTCTTCGCAGTCCAGCACTTCCTCACATCGATCGAATCCAGCAAATCAATCAACATAGACTTCAGAACGTCAAGCCTTATCTTGCCACATGCCTCCCCAACCTCCACCCAGCTGCCACATCTCAGGCTAAGTGTCACACGACAAGGGTACCGCCAGCAGTGGCTCCCCTTGGACCAGCTGCTTGTCCGCGACGAAGCACTGCTGCCGAAAAGCCTTGCGGCTATTCTTCGATTCCAAGACAGCCCTTTCTGAAGATCTTGGATCTGAATCATTCTGAATCTAATCTGGATCTATTGCATGTGCTGTGTTCCCTTGCATCATTTGGTCAAGGCTCCAAGTGGTTCAGCAGTGCTCCGTCAAAAACATCTTCCATCTGATCCAAATGTCTGCGAAGCGTTTTGCTCCCATGGGCCAATCAAGGAGCAGATTTTGGGCGAGAATTATGATAGTGCAACATTGAGTTGCTAGCCTTCTATGCTGTGAAAGGACTTATGAAACGTGGTGAAGGGCCTTCGATGATTTGCTTGGTTCTTCAGCATCCAGTTGAAAAATGTAGCGGGGTAAGCTTTCCGAGATGGACATATCAATGAAGCATCATGATGCTATCAGCTGAGGCAGGTATCATCCGCAGTATTTGCTCTCCGGCTCCCATCCAGGGACACTCGTTACAAACCCCCTCACAACCAAAACAACGCACAAAAAAACACACACACTCCGCTCCCCTTCCTTCCTTGAGCCTCAGTTCGGCAACATGGGCCGAGATCCGCACTCTGTTTGCCAGGCCTTGAGGTCCAAACTGACATTTTAAAGAAACACTCTTCCTTTGAGTTACTAATAGCAATGGCTTCCAACCTAGTAGGAATGACCTCAAACCTGCTAGCGATGGCCTCGACCGAATAACGATGGCCTCCAACCTATGGCTTTGGGTCTCCTAACTTCAGAGTCTGATGAGCAGGAGCACCTGATTTCAATTCTAACCCGGCCCACGGGCCGACATCCGAGGAGACTAAGTCTACAGCTCATGGATCTTCTTTTCAATCTGTTCCGATTCCGAATGCCGCTGCCTGGTGTCTTGCCGTGCGTTCACACACTACATTCGGAGATTTCGAGATTCAAACAGCACGCATAGTATGGATACCCGTTTTTTTACACACTGGCTCAAACACATGGGCATGCAACGTTCGAATGGACTTGTGTGGTGACTAATCAGGTTCAATGGACAATACACGGCAGCCGATGCAAGCTCGAGCTCAATCCAAAGCTTTGCAAATGCCCAGCAGAGCATTTGAAACCTTGCAACTTGCAAAGCTCACTGGCTAAGGAGCTGTCAGAGCCTCTGCCCTGGACGAACAAAATACTGAATCCGCAGTTTTCTTAAAAGCCTCTGACAGCCGCTTATAACTTATAACCTATACTGCGTTCCCAAAAATCCCCTAAACTACCATTTGTCTCCGTGTGGAACACATCAAGCGACTGCCGCGCAAGGTCTTTTTCCTTGATCATCTGCTCACTCAAGATGCCTCCGAGCAAAACAGGCACACTCTGCAGAATTGCACTTGCAACTTAGTGAAATGATGTCAACTGTCACGTCTTCCCAGTTCTGGAAGTCTATTAGGACCATGTCAGGGTCAGTGCGACCTGGCAGTGGAATAGCCAAAGGGTGTGGCCTCAGCAATTGCCCCAATGACGGATGCTGAATCATGATCCAGGCTTGTACTGGATCTCGAGGTAAGGGCACATCCTGGATGTGGAGTCGGACACAAAAGGGATACCATGATGTCTCTTTATTCAACTGCAACCACCACACTGCGATTCGCTTTGACTGTCTGTCCCCCTCCTGCCTGCTTCGCAGCCTTGGTGCATTGGCAATAGACTCTCCGCCATTGCCCTGAATCATCTGCACCGAAGGTGTCCACATGCTGGCCAAATTCGACTGAGAACACCTGGAAATTGCGGTGTGGTCTCACCAGGTTGGCTTCCCCTCCTAACTTGCAGCTCATAACATCGACTGAGAAATCAAGCCCAGCTGCGATCAGGCCATCTGTGCTCGGCTGGCTTCTTACTGCTACCATTGGCTTCCGTACCACTTCGAAGCTCTCCCGAACATCCATGAACTCTTGGGGAATTCCGTATTCCCGCAGGCCCTGCAGTGACATGTCTGGCATCTCTATTCGCTTTGATCACCTTCCGTTCAACTGTCGCCTTCAATTCGCTTTTAATGCAGTGCCTTCTCCTGCACAAGCTGAAGACGCTCCCCGAACTCTGCTGCCAGCGCTGCCAAGTGGGCGGCTTGGTCTACTTCCTAGCACGTTCAATCTCAATTGTATGGCAATTTCTCAAGGATTGCGCTTTTTGTTGGCAGTGTGGAACATGACAATTGACCAACCGTGCATTCAGCCAAGTGCTTCTCCTCGGGGATATCCAGCACTGGGTTGGTTTGTGGTGGGGATGGTGCAGCTTGCAGCTCCTGAAGAGAAAGCAGCTGAACTTCCTTTAGAACCTGACTGACTGACCAAAACCTGAAATAACCATCTTCAAGTCGTGACAATTTGTCATTATTCTAGCTGCTATCAGTAGCCTGCCTGTCTGCCGGCCTGTCTGTACCCTCTCCCCTCTCTCAGGCTCTCCCTCAAACACAGCTTCGAGGAGTTGTTTTAGCACCAGCCGCGAACAGAATCACGAAACAGGCTCGAGCCTGGGTCTGCCACAGAACTGCTCACTGTACTTTTCACGGTGAACTGTAGTTCCACTGGCAAGCAGGAAGAAACCTTACCGTGCCAGCCAAAGGTAAACCATGCTGCTCTCACAGCTCCACTGGCAACCCGACCACGAAGTGACCCGGGCTTTGGGTGAACTCACTTGAAGTGTCATAGCAGACTTCAATGATGCTGCCCTTGAAGTCGATCTGACTGAGGGCGTCTTCCTGCAAACAAGCTCCAATGTCTTAATTAAGGCATCGTTTTTTGCAATGTAAACGTGATTTTTGGACCTAACCTAACAGCTGAGCGAAGTGTTGGGCATCTTATGCTCAATTCTGAGAGTGTCCGCGCTTGTGTCAGCATCAGTCCTTCTTGAGCTGCTTGGTGATGGCAGCTCTGAAGACGGTCATCCATCCTTCTCCACGTCGCAAGTAGCACTTTGAAAGAGGCCCCACCCGCTCTTCCACCCAACTACTGCTCTGGCACTTTGGGTGCAGGGACAAGGATGATGGATTTGATGTCTCTTCGTAAATCTTCTTTGAGCAAACTTCGAGGAGTCCTCCGTCGTACTCCTCCACCGCTTTTCGAGCGCTCTCCGCACTGTCAAATATGATCCTCGCTGTATCCTCTACAATGGAACATTGCAGGACAGGCCCCACATGTTCTTCAAAAAGGCTCTGCACCTCATCTGGCTTGAGGCGCTTTAAAATGTTGGAGACCTTCACTCGGCTTGACCCTGACAGTGGCTGTATCACAGGGGCGGCCGGAATGGCCTCCCATCCACGGACGGAAGGAGGAAAGCTTGGAGCGGAGGAACTAGGATCGCTGGATGGCTTGGCTGAGGACGCCGAGCCCTTGTTCGCAAAGCAATCTGGTATTTGATCTGGAGGCGGAGGTGGTGACGGAGGAAGGTGAAAACCGCCAAGTGCTGCAATGAGCTCTTTCACTGGAATGCCGATACTTAGTGAGAGGTTGATAGATGGAACTTCCTCTCCGAGGAGCCCTTTCTTGGAGATTTCCAAGCCTGAGCAAGATGTGACAATAGGGATGGAGCCTGCCATTGCGTTCAGACCCTCCTTGCAACGGAGTGCTTAAATATCCTTTATACCTTCCTGGGCTCCACCCGATAAACTTGATCTGGAGACCCTGCAGGATCGCAAACACAAGTGTTGTGATGCATGCTCAGCCAAGGCCCCAGGCCAACCACAGGGTCTAACGAACAGCTCCCACACAAACCCCCGGCCAAACTCCATCATCCAGTCCTCAACATCGCGCGATACTAGCACCCCAAGTTGCGGATGTTGTAGCATGACCCAAGCCTCAGCTGAAGCGCCCCTAGCAAAGGTCAGTTTACATCATCTTGACAAACACAAGTGAAGATGAAATGTGAATTCTAGAATCAGCATGTCCTTTTTGTCGGCAAAAATCCCTCCAGAATGCTTGCTGCGCCTCCACCAGGCCACCATGGCCTCCACGTAAACGGAAATGGAGCTTCCGCCAGGTGCCAGTTTCGTCCGCTTCCTCAGGACGACCCCCAGCACGTCGTCTGCGCAAAGGCTCAGAAATCCAGTTTTGGGCTGCAAACTGCCTCAGTGCTGTACCTGTTTGTCCAAGTGTCAAAAAGCACAAGCCGCTGCCCGTACTCAAAGGCACCCAAGACATGCGCATTGACGCTAGGCTTCTTCCGAATGGCAACCTTCCTGAGCTGTCTGGACATTCTGCTATGTGTCGGTATGTACTGTATATATATATATATATTTATACGTGTGTGTGTGTATGTGTGTTATATATGCTGTATACCTATATTGATTTTGATTATATATGTATCTATATGTTTGTATACAGGTAAGACAGGCTCAGCACTCCACCTTGCCTAAAACGGTATAAACTCACTCCAAACATTGCATTATATAATTTTGCAAGAATATATGAAAACCCAAGTCAACAAATCACCGCAACACCGAATTTACTCACCGTCACCAAAAAAACAGTCACAGGTCGACGACGACGACAACAACAACGACGACCACGACGACCACGACGACCACGACGACCACGAACCACGACCACGACCACGACCATGACCACCACCAGCACCACCACGACCATGACCACGACCACGACCACGAACACAACAGCAGCGGGAAGGATTCTATTTTGGTTTAGCTAGCGCAGAAGCACAAGCCTATCTAAAAGCGAGGCTTCTCGCCTCGTTGTAAGAAAGACTGGTGCAAATTCCAAACCGAAACGCAAGGCACACCATTCAGAGGACTTCTTTACAATGCAAGAATCTTAAAAATGACCGTGTGTTCTATGCCGTCCTTCCGTTGCTCCTCCTGACGCGACACATAGACCAAGGCATTTGTCCTGAGGCGCGGTGGGTCCAAGCAGCTACAATGGAAGTAGCGTCCTTGCTCCTAGTAGTAAGGCCAGGAGCCCCTACTAGCTTCTTGTTCCTAGTAGCGATGCCAGGAGCCCCTAGTAGCGTCCTTGCTCCTAGTAGCAATGCCCTTTGTTACTAGATGTTGCTAGTAGCGATGCCCCTGCTACAAGTAGCTTCTTGTTACTACCACAACATGACACTACTGGTTCTAGAGAGACAGACCGCAGAACACCACAAACATCCAGAAACTAGTGTTCAGCTGGCACGCTCATCCACAATGAAGCCTGCTTCATCCAGAAGATCCTGTGCTTCACAGGGCAACCTATTTGCAACAATATGTGCAGGCTGCCCTGCAGCCACTCAAGCCAAACAGTCCTTGCGTGTGTCCGTCACTTCCTGACAAAAGAGAAAACGATAATATCGCAACTGCCAAAAATGTTCATTCATTTCTATGATTCTCTTACAGTAACAGTTAAGAATGATCTTAGCACGCGATTGCTTTCCTCACAAGATCACACCCCCTGCCTGAGTCGAATCTCCTTTGCCTCGCAAGGCCAGCAACTCGTCCCGGGCCTCGCGCTCGACCTGCACAGCTTCCACTGTCATTAAATCATCGCCATGGAGAGGCGTGCCGGAAGCAATCAACACCGGAGACCAGATTCTTTTGCATCACAAATCAACAACCAAAGTCAGATTTCTTCCATGGAAAGACATTCCACTGCCTCTACAAAGGCGGAGAAGGCCCCGGTGCGACCCATTGCGCAGGAAATGCCTACAATATCCTGTACAACTTCTTCGTGATGTTTGTCCTATTCTGCCGAAGCCGCAGTGTAAATGCTTCGTGAAATGCCGCCCGATGCGCTGAACTCCTTCGGATGGCCCTGGGCCATACAGCCGCGTGCTTGCAATGCTTCAGACTCATCAAATCATCACATGCGCACTCTAGTAACAAAGGCATTACTGTCACATTAGAAAAATCACACACGATGACATGTCTCTTATCTCACGCCAAAAGGTCCAAAAAGCCACAGTTGGCAGGTAGCAGCTGTCACAAGTCTTGTATAGTCTTGATGTCTTGCTTGCTATCTGCACTTGGGTGAGACGTACATCCATTGAGAGCATATTTGTAGTGAAGCAGCGCTGCCGCTGCCAATCTTCAGACCATCCTCTCCCGAAGTTGTCACAAGTGTTGATCAAAACTGGGCTCGAAAGCATATCGAATATAGTCTAGTGATGAATTGATCTGCAACGTGTTGTGCACATGTTTACGCCCATGTAAATCAGTTCGACGGGGTTTATACAGTAAATGAAGTAGACTAAAGTGGAGAAAACGAAGGGCAAGAGAGAGACAAACAGAGAGACGGATGGGCAAACGAACGGACAGAGAGACCGATACAGAGACACGAACACAAACAAACGCACAGACCGACGGACGGACAAACGGACCGATGGGCGGACGGACGGAGGGACAGCAAAAGACAGAGAGAGAGAGAGACAGCGCGAGCGAGCGAGGGAGAAAGAAACAAACAAAGCTTTTAGCAGTAGAGGAGCACCTGCGAACCTTCCCAAGACCTTCATGTTGGCTGGCTAAAGATACTATAATGAGGGATGCCAGAGCTTTTCCCATTGTAAAATCCTTCTAGGCTGCAACACGATCTCATACAAAGGAACCTGCAAGTGTGCACACAAGAGATGTGTCCGATGCAACTCATGGCACTTGAAGCCAGCTGAGGCACAGCAGAGCTGCTAGCCAGATCGCTCAACTCTACAGGAAACACTTCTGCCTCTCAAACGAATTATACCGATTCACATCGCTCGCAAAAGGCGAAACTGCTACTGTACAATCCAGCAACACTCGCCAACAGCGGAGCAGCGGTGCAGTGATACGGCACTTTCTGCCGTACGCAAAAAGTTTGGCTCAGCTAAAGGCATTTCACCCGGTCGCTCGACATCCTTGGTTACAAGTGACAAGTTACACCTGGGCCTGGGGACCTCACACTACAACAAGGCCTTTTCAGCCATGTTTCGCAAGCGAATCCAAGGAGCTGTTGCCATGAAAGCCTGAGAAATTTGCAGGTTAAGAGGCATCTGTGTACTGGATGTTCATAACATTTTGCCAATCACAGGCTGGGGCAGCGCACGTCGCCAAGTACACCCTAGTCCTTGTATTGGTGATGCCAGTAGGGATTGCTGAGCCACCTGGCTTTGCGAAACTACGAGCTGCTTTTAAGAAGGTACAATCGCGGGTACACTGGCACTTGGACTTGGATTGTCCCATCGGATGCATCACTCCCGAATCAATCCGATCCATAAAGGAGCCATTGCAATCGAAGGCTCCCAATTGAGTCGATATTGGGACGTACATAATTACCACCTCCGCCCCAAATTGCGCACTGCGCCGGAATCTCCACCAAAAAGTTATTAAACAGCATCTCCGCCAACGTGAATCTCTGGCCAATTTTTCGCTGGACTATATTAGCTTACACGTCTATCTCCGAGCTCCAATGACCGTGTCTTGATCTGGTTCGCCATGGGGTGAATCCGGGCGCTGTATTGCACGGCACACATGTTTCTGTTTGACACGTATCTACCCCTGCTGAAGGCTCTGACGGGCAGGACGTTGTCTACGGTTGATGTTGATTGGACCATATTGGACCATGTTTCTTCGGGCCAGGATGCCTCAGGAACTCTTTGTAATTCACAAGTCCATCCTGATCCTTAGCTGCAGGCTGCCACACTACTGCCAGACTGACAAACAGAACTTCGGCTGCGATTACTTTCGTTACTGTATATCAATCACGATGTACGCAGCTGTGTGCTTGAGGTTCTCAATTAACTCAAGCATCTGGGTCAGCAAAAAGCAGCAGTTCATCAACCTCCTGCTCACTGAGAGGAGCTTGTCCCTGCCAGGTTCAGGGGTGGACACGAACTACCATCAAACTTCAGGGGCCTGCAATAGCAATGCACTGCAATGCAGGTAAATGTGTTTCAGTTACAATTAGTAAGAAAGTGAAGTGCAATATACAAGTCACATCACAAACCACGTGCCATATGCATTCTCTGGAACAGCATGGCCTCCTTCATCAGTAGCGACCGCAATTCGACCGCAGGAATATAGTCATCCTGCATCCACTATCTAAAAGCCGATTGCAGAGTGCACAGGCAAGCATGGGGAAGCGGCGCTTGTGTGCAGAGAGGTGCTCCTTGTTATCGTCCAAGACCTGCAGAATGTGTGGAAGGGGAAAACAGCTGTTCAACAGCTTCACAACCAATCCTCAACTACTGTTCTCAGCCCTACCTCGAATGTGTGCGGCGCAGAGCTCATGCTGTCTTCGCCCAGGAGCTTGCCTGAGCACTGACTCAAGGAATCTGCTAGGTGATGAGGTGCACAGGATGTACTAGTGTTAGAGATCCAAGTGGCGGGTCATAATACCCTTCCACTCATCATAGTCGATCCTCGTGCTGATGCTCATACAAAGAAAACAGGTGTGACACAACACCTACAGGGAAATCTCACGCGATGACATCCACAAATGCAATCAGCTCATCCTGCCATCATTGTTGGCATCTATATCATCGATCTGGCAGCAGAACCGCAAGCATCATTTCAACGAGAGTGAGTAGTACAACCCACTTATGTAAGCAGAGGATGAGGCACAAACCAAAAGCATGCGTTGGTCTGCTTAACAATCACTGCTGTGCGTGCCATGAGCTGGACGTCATGGATGTCCCCCGACGCGTCAATCTGAAGGAACGCCTGCCGCAAAGAGTCCTCGGTGGTGCTGGCCGCATTCCATCACTGGACATGGACATCCAACACTGCTGCGCGCATGTCAGCAAACCTGACTTGCTCCCAAGTTTCTATAGTGATCACTCGAATGGTCTCACCCTTGTCATCCAAGGACTCCTGGGTAGCTGGTTGTCGCGTCAACATGGACAAAGCCTGTGGGCACACAAACAGAATCGAAACTCCATGTTTGACTGGCACATGTGCGTCTCACAAAACAAATTGCGCCAGCATAGACACCAAATAGCACAAAACAATTTTTCAACAGCATCATGGCAACGGCACACATGTGCAGGCTCCAAAGCTGCCATGAGATCTGCCTCAGCACCGGCACCAGCACTCTCTAAAGCATGCAAGGCCATGGGGATCTCGCAGCAGCACCCTGGCCGGCCACACATCTGGCAGCGACACCCTGCAGCGGCACCCGCACCAAAAACCCTAAAGCGCACACATGCACCTGTCCCTATACTTGTAGTGTGGGCCCCGAGTCGGCATTGCTTGGCTCATCAAAATCACTGCGTTGATTCTGCGAAGGTGGGCGGCTCAAGCGAGGGCCAGTATCGTGTCCGACGTCGGAACTCGAAGGAAGGCTGAAACTTCAAACGCGTTGATGCTTTCTGTGGCGACACGAGTAGGCCAGCTTGGTCATGCACTGCCATCGAAAGTCTGCGAAAAAAAGAGCTGAGCCACCAGCGACCACAGCCGCATGCACGACTGCACTGATCGGGGAGAAAAGGGAAAGCGTTGACACGTCTGAGGCTTGCCGTCAAACACTTTCTTTAAACACTCCACCTGCGCCATTGGTGATGAGATCCCCGCGGCCTCGTACAAACACATTGATGCGCTGCATCTACCAGCTTGAAGCCACACTCCGAAGGGGTGGGCAGCAGGTCACGGTGGTATTCTGTCTCTGCTTGAAGAGTTCACTCCACAGCCCGGAGGCAAGCCTTGAAACCAAAATGGCCATGAGCATACCAACTCGTGCAGTCACTCCGTTTCTGACACTCGTGGCGTTGAGTCCGTTGGTCACGGTGCGTGTCGTCCCACCCTCTCTTGGACCGCCTAGATGGAACATCCCTTCAGCCTAGCCTATCGGCTGGCTTTCGTAATGCATATAAATATATATATATACACAGTACATGTGTATATATATATAAAGACTCAACTCTGCTGCCTCCTTTTTTGTTGCAGTGCAAGACCAGGTTGGTCAATGTTAAAAGGAGTATCAACATGCATTTACAAAACCTGAGGCCCATGGCCCGGGCACCCCCCATGCCTCCTCGCCACACCGAGGTAGGCATGAGCCAAGTCC